ATTTTGACGATGGGAGATATGGCTTAAGACTTAGGTAGGTTWGTTATATGAAGAGATCCGAATAAGAACACGTCGAATTTATCTCCTCCTTCAACTGCGTTCCTGAAAACTTCGACCACAGTGTCGTAGAAACCACTCGTGGCGGCTTTTTTTCTGTGCACATACCGACGAAGAAGATRTAAATGGGAGAGATCGCTGGAGAAGAGGCGTAGTGAGACTTTTCWTGGATGTGTCTAGGCTAAGAGAGAAGATTGAAAGGCGAGTTTTCTGAAGGAAACTCATTGTCAATTTAAGCTTTATKCTACCGTAGTGTTTTCAGGCAGAAGGTGGCCGTAGGCGTACCGCTTCCTTCAACGAAGTGAGCATTMTATAGGTAATACAAATAGGTTTTACAAAGGTAATGAAGTAGTTTTTGTCGTCACTGGAAATAGCATTAATTTCCTTTATCACCAGATCCGTGTGGGTGCCTGAGAGGACACGCTTGCCAAGCTCACATTGTATTGAGAACGAGTTAGATCTTCAACGGTATATTGCGTTCTACCACTGAACCAGTCGAACATGCATGCGCTTAGGAGGCGCTGGTTGCCTTTACGAYGGCGAGATCATTTTGGTGTAGTGTAGAATGATGGAGATCTACTGAACTACCTGCATCGAGCAAAGTTAATCTTACCGCAATTGTAGGAGTCAAATAGTTACTGGACACTGTTCAATAGGAATCTGCTGTAAAACTAAAAATCTTGTCGGATCCTAGTGATTAAAACTGTATGGACGCGGTTGAGGTGGAAACMTCTAGGCACTTTCTCCTCCATTGTCTAGTCTTTGCACGGCTGATGCTGTAACACCTTGGAAGTTCTACCTTTGGCAAACCAGAAGTCTAAACTGACATTAGTCGTCTCAACAATCTTGGTGGGAGGCTCAAAGCGCATTGTCGATTTGTCATGGTCTTATAATCCAGTATATGGATATATTCAGGCACCTCAACGGATCGACGTTCTTAGCTGTTCAAGTGAGATCTCTKTCAGGATCGACTTTTTAATCTRATTTAATTTAATGATTTCGCGAATAATGACTCATTTTGCAGATTTTGAWTCTGACGATACGGATCATGATATCGAATTAGGCGTGTCGATAATTTTGGTGTTTTTCTAAAATTTTAAAGCAATATTAAACAATTGCTCATGTCAATTTAGGTCTTAGTCTAATTATTGTTGCATATTCGTCTTTAAGCATCAATTTAATTTTATTCTCACTCACCTCATCCCCTTCGTTTCGCATAAGTGTAGCTCACCGAAAACGCCACAGCCCAATTTCTCCACTATCACCAACGATTGTCGCGGAAACTCYTGCACTTGAAAATTAGCCAGCTCTTCGTTAACATCGACGATGGCGTGGCCAGTCAGGCCATTTCCACTCATGTCCAGATTGTAATGATGCGGTTTAACAGCAGCTAAAGTAGCGGCAGARCTCGCATAACCATAACCGCCGCCCGTTGGCGTTGTCGAGCTGGATGCCAGACTGGCCGTTGTAGAGGCGAGACTGCCGCTACCGCCACCAATGCTACCATTGGGTAATGTATTGCAAGCACCAGCATTTGTGCTCACACCACCGACCGCACCACCGCCAATGCCATGCGAGGCATTTGTGGCGGCATTTGCTTTGCAAATCGCTGTGGTTGCATAGTATTTCTCATTACTGCTGGCRTTGCCYAATAATGGCGGTARGGGCGGTATTGGTGGCGGGCAGTGTGTGCTTGTTGTTGCCGAGTTGGGTGCCGGCGGCGGTGGTGGTGGTGGCGTCAGTTGTGACTGATATGAATGTTGATGTTGTTGTTGTTGTAATTTTTGACTAGCGGTCGACAATTTCGATTGAAACATGCTGTTGAGTGTGTTGCGTGCACTGGTGCTATAGTTGCTGCTACCRCCGCCACCAGCGCCCATGCTGGCGCCGTATAAGGAATTGGACTTTTGTGTGCTTGTGGGCAGTAGGTCCTGCATATGTGGTACGGCGTACTCCTGGCAAACAATGTCCGGGACGTCTGGAAGTACAGAAAAAGTTATGTAAATAAGAAAGGTTAATTACAAAAGCGTGCGGTTAAAGATACGTTGGAGAAGAACAGTATTCCCATTAAGTTAAGTTTAATAAAGTTGTTGTGATTGAGATGAGAAATCCATCGAATGATATTACTGTAACAATGGGCTTAAACAGTTCGCGTCTTTCTTTTAACTATGCTGTAAGCTTGACTTTAAAGTTTGATATGATTTGAGTTTATCCAATTCATGCCAATAACAGGMCAATCGAAAGGACCCGGCTTACCAATAGTAAAAAATTATTGGTAAAATAAATTTTTCTTTCTACATAGTTCCTTTTCCTATAGCGATCCTTCAATTTTTCGAGACCATTTTCATTATACGATTTTCCCTTTGCTTCAAAATAGGTCTCACCTACTCATTCGACAAATACTTTTCCCAGTTCTGAGAACAGAAAGTAGTCGCTAAGGACCAGAACTGAAGAGAACGTTGAACGGAAAACCAATTCAAAGCCCAATGAATGGATTTTCGATGACACGATGTACTGATGGCTTGCTGAAACAGCATTTGCTATTTCTTCAATTGCGTTTACTTTTTTTGAGAGAATCTTTCAAATTACCAAATAATGCTTTGTAATAATGCTGTTGATGGCCCTTCCCATTTAAAAGTATTGAACAAAAATTTCAATTTGTATCCCAAATKACAGTCGCTATAACCTTGCCAACCGACTGTTGAATTTTTCCACACTTTGGAGCGGGTTTATCGYGTGAAATTGWCTCGGATGACTGTCGACTGSACTTCGGAGTGAAATAATAGAACCATGTTTTAGACATTGTCGCAAGACCGATGGAAAGACTCGTGTTTATTACTTTTGAATGTCTCTTAACACTGCTTTGCATCTTCAACTCGTCGTTTTCGTCAGTAACAACGTCACTTGGCTGTCCACTGCGTGCTATATATTTATTTCACCACGTGAGCTTATCAATCCTTAATGGTTTATTTTATAGGTCAGTGTCCGGAAACTCACCAGCAAGACCAACTCTACTCCTTTCTTACAAAACGCAGTATTTACAACATGAAAAATCAGGTCCCATATTTGTTTTAAATAGGTGGAAAAGGAATTTCCAATTCTGTGTGTATACTAAAGCAATTTCGTACAATTTTATTCAATTATTTCGAACATTAAGTTGAAATAATCTGAAGTAATCTGGTAATCTAGAACTTCGTGTCAGCCAACATACTTTTAACTATTATAACTTCAGAAGTGTTTGTATGAAAAATTCGACAAAAAKCAACATGCAAATTTTAATAATTCATATAATTCCAAGTTCCTTCACACTTAGCGCCTTTATTAAATCGTATGCTTTTGCTAGCGGCGATCTTTTGCTTCCGTTATATATTGTTGCTAAATGCAGTTTTGTATATTGAGGTAAGTCAAAAATGCTTTTTAGTCCCAAAAACACGAATTATGTACATTATAAGAGAAACTTATTCTTCTTCAATCTTTATATTACTAATATTCTTGAAAATATGATTTTCAAGTTGTTCTCAAAAATATTCAAATAAAACAAAAAATCCAAAATAGTAGTGCTTGTAAAGAGATAGCGGGTGGTTTTCACTGAAATAGTTAAAGTCACCATAATATTTGGAAATAATTCCTTTTTTCGTTGGAAGCAAAAGAGTACTTTTTTGGTTTTCAGTYACACTTCAAGATCTGCTAGATCACATCGCATCAATTGTAAAKAGTTTACAGAAACCATTATTGATTTAGCTCAATTAAAAAAGATCATATGCCTTAAATTGCAAAGAGCGGTTGCGTTGGAACAGGCAGAAGCAATATTATCAACATTTTGAAAGCAGTGAACATAACAGAACAGTGAACAAAGACGCCAATAATTTCCGAGATCACTTTTATTAGTTTGATTGCAGGTTTCAGCTAAGGAGGAGAGATTTTATGGTAAAATTCTATACCGCTTTCAGCAAGATCGATCCGAAAAAGATTCATGAGACAAAACTATACAATAAAAAAAATAAACCGTCTGCATTATAGAATAATGCCGAAAACTCAAAGAAACAAAGGTATGTAACTAAAATAAAGCAGTATGTATTATTTACTAAGGACGAGGTTCTAACTACGTGATCAAGTTTCAGAAAAATTTAATAAAAAACCCAAGAAAGGTCTYTCGATTATTCAGAGATGAGTGGCATATCATAGTGGGTAGATTTACGCTTGAATAACGTTTAAAAATCGTTCAAATTTATTACGAAAATTCACGTTCTGTAAAGAATGTGTTTCGCGCACTTAGCTCAACTTTCCGTCAACATAATCGGCCTACTGAGCATAGTATTAGCAATGCCACCACCTATTTTCAGACCGAGCATTCACTAATGGATAATAGACCAAATTTTGTTCAGCAATGAGATCCAATTCTGGTTTAATGAGTATGTGAACAAGCCAACCACATTACCGCATTTCCGGCGAAGATCAACCTGACGAGAATCAAAAGCTGCCATTTCGCAAAAAAAAAAAAAGTAAAGATATTGAATGGTTTGTGGGTCGGTGGAATCCTCGGTTTATAACCGACTATTTGATGCCTGAAATTGAAACCCCTGATCTCAGGCACATTTGGTATCAACAAGAGGTGTCACTTCCCACACATCGCATCAATTAATGGATTTATAGAGAGAACACTACCATGAGCAGATAATTTAATATTTTGGACCGGTCGATTAGCAACTGAAACAGTGGCGTAGCTACCTAGGATCTAGACGGGGAAGTGATGAGGGGCCCTCAAGTTCAGGGGGCAGTCGAATCCTTACCAGAAATGTCTATCGAACTCTCATATTCAAACTCAGTATTACAGTTTGTAACCCCACCTTAATCATGACAACTCAGTTGAGAGAAATTCAAAAGTTATGCCCAGGGAATTCCATAAATTTTTCTGTAGGTTGGCAGTATTGGAAATTTTGACGAATAACGATATGTGCCTTTTATTATTTGTCGATGTGCGTTTTATTGTGAAATCGAGTTAAGATTTTTTTTTTAAATTAGAAGCTGGTTACCGCTTTTCAAATAGAGAAAAAGTTTTCATTTGATTTTCCAAGACCAATATTTTTATTAAAATTAAACCAACTTCACTATTCAGTTATATTCAGATATAATAGAGCCTAATTTTTCACTTCAATTTATTAATATTTACCACCTAGTTTTAYTTCAACTAACTCAAGCAGTTGTAATTTCAACAGTTGGTAGGCACGATTTCTATATAATAAATCCTTTAACCTTTTCTATATAGTTTTATTAGCCAGACCTACACTAAGTATTAATTGGCATTTATGTCTTACCGTTTAACACCTGAAAAAAAAGATGACTTTTAATTTATTATKAGCTTCTTTTTCGAGAATTATTTACCCTTATCTACGTAGTGAGAGTTTTGTTGTGGTTTTACTTGCAGAAAGTGCCTGCGTTGTTCAAAATATTTAATTTGGAGTAATTTGGTATTATAATAATTAACTTCTAATCTCGTAGTCAACGTTGTATATTTTATATACTATTTATCTCCAAGATCGTCATATAAGTCAAACATTTTTTTATCACAAGAGTGCATTCAAATGTGGTATCAGCAAAAAACTATGACTTATATTTAATTCTTTAAATAAATTTATTTCTTTATTGTAACTTTATAATTTACCTTATATACTTATAGCCAAAACTTATTTTTGGCTTTTTAATTTACGAAGAAAACAAAACTGCTTTGTTAATATGGAAATTCTAATATATACATAAACATGAATTTATGCATTAGCTTTGGAAAAATATAAAAATTCAATTTTTTGYATACGAAAGCGATTGCCACACTATCCATTTTATATTTTCATTTCCAGCGAAACCGCCGAAATGTATTTTGCAATTGCATTTCTTGAAAAAAGGCACATAGTTTATGTATATTTATRTAGAGTAAATATGTAAACTACTCAAAACAAGTTGCATGTAAGCTATGAAAATATAGTATATCCCTGCCACATGTTGTTGGCCAATAGAGTTTAGAGTGCAATTTAAATTCCATTTCAGCTGACATTTTCAGGATTTGCATGTGTGCACGCGAACATAAACAAGCAAGAATAAATGCGRAGAGAAAGATGTTAAAGCATGTGCACACGAATATGTTTGTGTGGATATAAATTCATGAGACACACGCACGCACGTGCGCACTTCGAAAACAAATCAACACGCAAACATAAAAATCAAAACTTTCCACAACAACAGCCATTCGCTTGCATTTACAAGCGCTTTGCTGCATGCACCACACKTGCCTATGTGTCTGTGTGTGTGCCGTGTATCTGGTACACATATCAATAAACCCTGTTTGTGTATCTGCATGTTGTGTGGGAAAATTTTGGGCGCGTGAGCGCTACAAAATCCTCGAAATTCAATTACCATTCAAAACTTGGCGCCACAAAAAACATGCATTGCTGCAAAATAAAATCGCTTGCATTTATATGCGGCACGTTGGYAAGAACAACAACCGGCAAACTGCAATAATCACAGAGAACAAMAATAACAAGAGCAATAATTTTCTCACTTTCTGTGAAAACGCAATTTCTTGATGGAGCGACACAAATACYAGCTCCATATATGTAAAAACATAATATATACACACATGTGCATTGGAGTATTTGTTTGTTGCTCATACGACATGGTGCCCCAGTGCATACCCAGTGGGAGACCGTATTGTAGTTTGAATGGTGCTGGTTTAGCGGCTTTAAACATAAATGTGGTCGCATTACTGGCCAGAAGTAATGATGATATGAAATTATGAAAAAAATATATTTATTTTTATAAAAAATTAAAAGTCAGAATTTTGGTCAAAATCCAATTTTTTTTGTAGAAAAAGCCATTTTTGATTTGCTTATACCTCCAATTAATTACTAGAGTATTACTTTAACCAAATCTGTTTTTTTTTTGTTTTTTGTCTAATTTCAGAGGATTTAGTAGCGGGATATAGCG